CTGCAAAAGTGCTACTTCAATTATTTGTAGGAAAAATAAGCATTTGTGCCCAGAATAGTAATTATACACACTTCATGTTCTTCGACTGCCTGTGTTGGGCAGCACAATTTAAAAGTTTGGCACGCTGTGTCTAATATAACATATTATTTTCCTTCAAAAGAGGCACTCATATGGATATTAAATAATATTTTGTGGAACTGTTGACTTGCACAACCTCCCAGTCAACAAACACTATTCCTATCTACCCTCCTCCACTAAAGCTACAATGGATGTGTATAGCAGCAATGGTTAATGACCCATCCTATAAATATCACAAATGCACCTATAAAGCATGCATATTTAACAGGAACACCACTGGATTACACAATGCATAGAATTGTTATTGTTAATATTCCCTTCTCTCAAAATGTCACTGATTTTTTTTTTTTAATGTTGAAGATATCTTTAGCGCTAAGAACTACTAGGAAGAACTGGACTAACCAACCCCCATGTTTTTAATGCTCACATGTTTTCCAGTGATCCATACAGTTAAAAATGCCCTTATATTGTCTCCATAAATTGCTTTGAAATAATTTATTTAGGCAGAGCTAGGACAATACTTTATTTACCCAAAGTAAATTAATATCCATGCAGAATACTTTTTATAATCAGATGTTTTTCTGTTAACATGAATAGAAATACAGGGGGGGAAATCTAATACCCTTGATTGAATTTTGGTATGGTCACAAATAGATAAATGGCTTTGGTACGTAGATTTGTTCCCTAAACAACTAGCTGCCTGTCCTTGGATAAGAAAATACAACAATACAATGTATTAACTCGGTTTTAGAAAACTAATATATTAATGGAGCATTTGTATTGTCTGATGCAAAATTAATCTGTAATTAAAAACTATGCTTATTTCCTAAAGGTTTGGCTGTGCACAAAGCAGAAGGATCCAACATACTGTTCATAGATGAACATCTAAGAAAGGTTCTACAGATTTCTATAAAGGAAGCCAATTAAAAAAAATCTACTTGATCACCAGAAGATGACACTAGCTCTCTTCTAAACTTTTGAGTATTTCTTTCCTGCCCTCTAGTGGTTTTCTGGACTTCTGCAGCCCATAAAAGATACTGTACCCTTTATACTTGCCTTTCTTTCATGGCTAGATGTTTTCATCATCACAATTTTACGTAGGCCACTGCTAAGTAATGTTAAATAGAGGACTTAGAAAAATGTTAATAGGTTTGCAGGCTTTTCAACTTTCCTGAAAGCTGTGCCCTTTCTCTAGCAGTTGGATGTATAGATGTTACTAGATAATAAATGTTTGCTCTTATGTTGTGCAATATCTCCTCTTCTGATGATTTTCTAAGGCCAGCAATACAATACTGAAATGCATAAAAACAGATCCAAGATTTTCCATTTGTGAATTTCTAAGTTATTTCAGGTACTGACCAGAGTAAAGCTGCATATGTTCATTTGCTTGTATCTACCAGATTCAGTAGAAATACTGCCATTTGTCAATCTTGCCAACATCCTTCAATTAACCTCAATGTTAAGTAATACATAAAGTGGTGCCACAAGTGAACAAGGCTATAAGCAATTACACTTGTCAGCAAGGCATGTGGGAACAATTAAAGGAAAAGGAAAGAGGCTGCTCACTAGCTCAGGAGTTAGTAATTGGCTAGCAAGTTTTAAGCAAGGTTACATTCTCACTGTCTGGTCCCTATTGGTAGATTGTAAACAGTTTAGAATGGCTTGATTCTATCATTGCCTGATTTTTAAAAAAAAAAAAAAACCTAGAAAAAATGTTCACGGACATTTTAACTAATACTCCTTTAGCTAGTACAGGTAATCCTCAGTTAATAGCTATTCATTCAGCAGCCATTTGAATTTACGACAGTGCTAGAGGAAGAGACTTACAACTGGTCCTTGAACTTGCGTCCATCCACTGTGTCCTTGCAGACAGAATTTGGACACTTGGCAACCATATTGGAATTACTATGGCCACAGTGTCCTGCAGTCACGTGATCATGATTTATGACTTTCATTATCAGCTTCTGACAAGTGAAGTCTATCGGGAAGCCAGCAGAAAATTGTGAATGTGCATGTGATGTCACACTGCAGGGGTTTGCCTAGGGCTGCAACTGGAAGTGCCAGAACTGTGTCATCGATCAGGGCAGTCATGCAACCTCACAATTTACTACTGCATCCAGAGGTGGTATTCAGCAGGTTCTGACCAGTTCTGGAGAACCGGTAGTGGAAATTTTGAGTAGTTTGAAGAATCGGCCAATCCTACCTCTGACTGGCCCCAACCCCATCTATTCTGTGCCTCCCAAGTCCCAGCTGATCGGCTGGGTCTTCTTTTGTTGCCCTGCACAGGAGAACAGAGCTGGAACGCAGGTTAGTGAGGTAGGGAGGGAATAGGAGTTTGCAGTAATCTTCCCCTGGAGTGGAGAGGGAATGGAGATTTTACAGTATCCTTCCCTTGCCACGCCCACCAAGCCACACTCAGAACTGGTAGTAAAAAATTTTGAATCCCACCCCTGGCCAACAGGGCTGTCCTGGAAAATGTAAGGGGCTGGTCCACATCGCTTTGGCCCAGTCTACCCAGTGTGAAGAGGAAACATGCCAGCAGTTTGGGGAGTGGCGTCAAGCTGGCTATGCCAGTTGGCCACCCCACGCAGTTGGCCACCCCCCACCCCCGAAATCAACCACAGCCCTGATGCAGCCATCAATGAAATTGTGTTTGACACCCCTGTCTTAAGGGATAGAGGGCCATTAAGAAATATGAGACTCACATTTTAAAGGACAACTGACCACAATGTACAATCACGAGTTCTTCCTCCATTGCTGAGTTGAAGTGCTACCCAGCCATCTTGTCAAAAAAAATTATACCAATGTGAAATTTGCAGGTCCAGTTGCATCTGTTTCCAGTCATACTCACCTGACTTCCTTCCAAAATAAAAACAACCACAACCCACCCTATGTTATGTAGCTAAATTCTCCTTGGACTTTGCTGGAATAGAAGGGGAGATTAACTGCAATATAACAAAAGATGGTTTAAACCTGCCTCACTCGGGGGCCATTTCCAAAATTCTGATATTTTTTTTCTTCATCCATTCTCTTGAAAAGATTTTGATATGTTTAGGATCGCTATCTTACAGGAAAATGTTGATGTGCTTCAGACAATGGAGAGATAGACTTATATTTTTCAGGGATAGAAAGCAGAATTCATGCTTCCTTCAATAATGGCAAGTTATCCAGGAATTGAGACAGAAAACCATCTTTAAACCATGACACTACCAACCTCATGAAGTCGTTATTTTGGCATTTAGCAATTGGCTCCTAAATTATTTAAAGAGCCATTCTATCTGTACCATTCCAGGCCAATTCCATCAGCTTCCTCTTCCTTCCATGTACTTTTCATTCTGGCTAGTTATTCAATCATCAGCAAGCATGACCATTAAACTACAACGGTCAACGGGAATGAAAACAATTCAGGGAGAAGAAAAACTTGACAGAATCAGACTTGTGGCACGACTGCCGGAATGGCTCCATCTTCTCCAGCTAACAAGAGATCCGAAGCGAAGTTAGCTCCTTTTCTTTTATTCCCATCACTTTTGTCTGATTTATGTAATTTAATGGGGATGATGCCATTTTAAAATTAATAATATGTAAGTCACTTTAGATGCCTTTCTGGCTGAAGACAAGTACAAATTGCTGTGAATAAGTAATTACTTTACAGGAGAGGAAAGGGAAGGTTAGTATGCAAGGAAGGAGCTGCTACAGGAAGATTCATTTCTTGTCAGATAAATGCTAGCAGAAATTAGGAATGCATAATTTGAAATAAGATTTGTTTATCACCGTGAAAGAGGATTCATAGACAGAACAAGACACATCCTCCCAGTTTTTATAAGCTAAAGCAACGCTTTGAATTTAACTACATGATTCTCTTATGAAGAGTGAACAGATGACATTCACTTGTCCCCAGGACCTGTTTAAGATATTTTATTGCATAAAATGGACAGCAAATGCTACTTCCCAGCAACCCACTAATCAAGTGTTTAATAATATCCGCAACTCTTCTTCCATTTTAATGCCCAAAATGGATGGGTTGGGAGGAAATCTACAAGAGCTTTAAAGTATTGCCCCAATTCTCTGATACGATTATAGCACAAGTCCATATTTTTATAAACAAATCAGTAAGTGCTTTTCTCTTGCCTCTATCAAGAAATGTATCACGGTGACCCACTGTGGAACCCTGACCATGTAGGGATATTTCTATAGCCTTCTTTTTGGGGGCGGTGGGGGTGGGGGGGAAAGGCATAGACAAGCTGTTTCTTTTATTTTGCATCAAAGATGCATCTATTCTAATTTTTCTTTTTGCTGCCATCAAGTAATCATCTGGATTTTTGCAGTCCATGCCCGTTAGTGCAACTATTGATCTTCCAGGTTTTTCCTTCCTTTGAGTTAGAGAGCATTGAAACAGCTGATCTGCAATTTCTTACCCATTCTCTTGCACCTTGCCACGCAATCCACAATTACACAATGTACTCATGAAGTATGGGTGTTGCAGTTATTGCTAATTAATTGTGGAGCTATCCCAATTGTGGAGCTCCACCATTGTGGAGGGGTCACCATCCAGTAGAGTTAAGCAATCTTAAATCAGCCAGACTATTTTGGATTGTAGTTATTCAATGCAGCAAATTAAAATGTAGTCCAATGTTCAAAAACATGTTTAAAACCCACGGAAATGAAGCGGCTAGACAGAAAGTACTAAAAGACAAGCCTTCCAAAATTAACACTTCCTTTTTGCCATGATTTTTCTTTTGCATATTAATTAATAGTACTTTTATTTTTAAACAACTATTTTGTTAGAAATTTCTTTTTCTTTTTTTCTTAGCTGCCATAACTGACATTTAGGGACCTAAACCGTAAACAGAAAACACTGCAATAAATAACAATCCTTTTTTTATTCTTTTCCTTCTCCATAGCCTCATCAACACTTTTTAAAAAAAAAAAAAATCTAGCTGAACTACAAAAAGAACTAAACAAAGTAGAAAAATATTCCTGCCTTCATTCTCTCACATACCAAATTTATACCACACTTGTAAAAGGCTTGAGAATTTGAGGATGATTCTACTTTTCAAAATGAAGATGGGGCACTTTTCAAAAGCAATGAAAGCTTTGCTGAATGGTATACAGGCAATTCCAAACATTTGCCCTTATTCGTGATGCCTTCAAAGAACTTCACCGAACATATCAACTTTAAATCATCTCCATATCTATTTGGTCATATGGGCTTTTAAATAAAGAATGGGTCAAGATTGTCTTACATTATAATTCGCATCTTGCTTCGGAAAGAAGTGACAGTTAATCAAATTTCACACTGACTTAAAGTTTAAAATGTGGGTAATGCTAAAATTAGGGATGGCCTGAAAATATTTTTCCAGTTTTATAATCAGCCATTAAATTAGCACCCCATAAATATGCCTCTTTTTTCACCATCAGCATTAAGAAATACTATATAAATTAGGCTGCGCTATTTCTATTCACATATTCATAAAAAGAAAAATATATATTTAGATATGTATGTATATATAAATGTTTCGATAACGGGATTTGACACTGGAGAAAGAGGATTCTGATGAGAACTGTAGAATCACAGACAATGCATGTTACCGAACATCAAAGTTTCAAGCACCTCATGGTCTCTGAGTCGCTGAGCGTCCTTTCAAGTTGTATCTGAAGAAGAGTCATAAGACGCAGACATTATGAAGTTGCCAGTGCTAGAATGGCTTGCTACAGACTGAGCAGCCTGTTGGCTTAGGTTGTTGCAGATAAGCACCAGCTGGTTACTCTGGGCTTCCGAGAGGGTGCTGCAGCTCTGGTACACACTGAAGTTGGTCTTCCTCCCAGGAATATTCCCTTTCTCACACATAGTCTTGACCATCTTGGCTAGTTTGTTCTTACCTAGGGCCTGACAATTGTACCAGTGTAACGCAGCTAGATTAACAACTGGCTTAATGGATAAGTAGAAAGGGGCATCCTCGTACCGCATCGCGGGGGGTCGCCTTTGCGCGTATTCCTTGTAATCTTGCACGGGGCAAGTCTGCGGTGCGTGCTGAGTTGCGTACACTCTGGAATCTGTGCCTGTCCTCTTAATCTTGGCGTTCCCGTCACTGCCATCTTGGCCCATCCATTCCAAGTATTCTAAGCCGGTCTCTGTCACCCGAAGTCTAATGTCCCCCCATTTGAGAGTCGACCCATGGAAGCCAGTACAATGGCCAAAGGCCTTTGTGTTGTTGAGCCAGACAAGATTCAGCAAACCCTCGGGATTATATCGGCTTAGCAGGCCTCTTTTGCGGAGAATCAGCTCATCGGCAAAAGTAAGCTTCATGGATTTGTGGGGCTTGTTGCCTTTGCCTTTGCACCTCAGTTCCATCTGCTTCTGCTTCAGTGCTTCTTGAGACCTCTTGAATTCCTTGTCTCGGGTGATGCTGTATCCGTATCGATGCTCTTTGAGATACCGCTCCAGCCCACACTGGTAGTTGGCCAAGCTGTTTGGCTCATATTCTGAACCATCCTTCTGCCGAGCATCAACAAAAAAGGATGCTAGGTAAGCATCTAATTCTTTGCAAGGAATAATGTAGATCTCTCTGGTTTCTGAAGGATACTTAGAGATGAGAAACTCTCTGAAGTTTCGGAGAGCTGTCTGGGTACTGCGAATAGTTTTCTCATTTTGCTCTCTACTAAGTTCGGCAGCTCTCTCATCTTGGTCTGGGAGAAGCAAAAGAATGATATATGAGAACAAACTCAAGGATGCATATTTTTTTCTCAAATTATGTTTCTCCTTAAAACAAAATAGAAATCAACATGTTCACAAAGATCACAAAGGTATTACACATTACATACCTGTCAAGCATGGACAGCCAACTTCTGTTTCACAAATGATGTTACTAAGGATATAAAAAAAACTTAATATATATTCTTCAACTCACTGGCACATATTTAATTTACAGATGTTATTTGTAGGGAGAAAACTCTGAGATATAGGTTGGTCTGCATTTTGGAAGAATCTAGAAAATAGAAAATATTTTACACCGATTCCACTGTTGAGTGGAAAGGTCCAATTAAGGAAGTACTACTGAACCATTTCATTTGTGAAATCAGAGGCTGTACTGGTCCCATGTGTTGTTTATATATTTTTAATCAAAGCATTTTATAACATGCTAAATAAGCTGATCGTTTGGGTATTAAAACATATTAATGTAATGTGTTAATTTACAAACAATTCACATTCTTTAAGCAAGTCCAGGATAGTGGACTGTTTGTACAAAGGACAAAACTGTAAGCAATTCATATCCACAGAGACTGAGTTACCATGTTGGGTGCTCTTGACTAATGATCAATTTAGAAAAGCTTTCTGTCTGTTAACAAACAATTTACACTTAGCAATTTACAAGTAAGAAATTGTTTTGAAAATTAACAAAGATGTGATATCTTTCTCTTTAGAGTCCTAGAAAAACTATTTAAAAGGCTGCCCACATAGATCAGATTTGTGTTCATTTTCGAATAAACACTGCAAAAGATCCCAGAGCATTTACTGGTTCAGAGTAATTTACCATATTCATCTCTGTGAGAAAAGATGTTTTCATTTATTGATTTCAATATCCTTAAAAGAGATATACGGACTCTCCAAATACTAGTTAAGTACCCTGTCATATATGGCTGCCATTAGCAAGTTAAGGAATCAATTTTCTGGGGAACTAGGGGCTTAATAGTTATTCATTCATATTCCATTCTACCTTTCATTGCTTTAAAATAAAATAGTAATCAATTAATCAGTGTCAATATCAAAACAAATAAGCAGACCTATTCATCATAATTCAAAAAATGCACTCCTCAGTTTTTCTGTTTAGTTAAGCATCTCTTCATCAGTCAACTGATTCACAGAGTTTCTGTGCCTATTGCCAGATATAGGAATACAACTAAATAAAATTTTAGGAATACAACTAAACAAAATGCCTACAGATATGGACAAAGATAAAGATGTATCAAGAGGGGGGAGGACTGAACAACTTGCCTTCTGGAGCTGTGGGTGTTGATGGAATAAGGACTCCAGCCCCGGGCAGGGGTTGGACTAGAAGACCTCCAAGGTCCTTTCCAGCCCTATGACTCTATTTTTCTTCTTTCCATTTGTTTCCCAATGAAAAAAAATCCTCTTCCTGAAAGCTACCATGTGAAAAAAAAAACCTTGAGAAGGAGGAAGGGAGCAATGAAACATTAAACGAGGGAAAAAAGATGATTCAGAAAGTGGAATGCATAAGAAAGAAACTCAAAATAACCCTGACTTAATTGACTTTGCTAGAAGACAGGACAGAGAGAAATTCTGGCAGGCTTTTTAGATTCAGTTCTTCTACTTTGCAACGAAAAAAGGCCATTCTTACAATCTCTGCTGCTTCAGTTTCTTGATCCTGGTTCTCTTGAAGGACTGACAAGCTATTAGTTTATACACAGAAACCTCAATGAATACTATTGCCAATTTCACAACGTAGGACTAAAGACGGCTTCTTTCCTCATCTGCCAGATAATTCAGTTCCTTTTAAAATTTAAAAGAGGAACAGGAACAGTCATTGTATCCCCATAAAAGTGTCATTTTTCCTCTCTTCCATGTAATCAGATGATTTATGCTCTATTTTTAACCAATATTTTATGGAGGGGAATTCCAGGGACTGTTAGAGCAATTTATCTACACAATGCTAGGTTGGTGGGAGCTGGCTTTGAGCAGTGGTGGGATTCAAGGTCTTTTTACTACCGGTTCTGTGGGCGTGGCTCAGTGGGTGTGGCAGGGGAAGGATACTGTAAAATCTCCAGTCAGAGGTGGTATTTGCCGGTTCTCCGAACTACTCAAAATTTCCGCTACCGGTTCCCCAGAACTGGTCAGAACCTGCTGAATACCACCTCTGGCTTTGAGGTACTATTGGGATGTCTTCGTATTCACATCTCACACAGACTAGTATATTTGAAACTAAACTGGATCAATAATCTTAGGACTGTAAGTGCTCTTGCTGGGACTCAGATTTATTGAGTTGTTCTTCATTTAATTTTCAAAAGGGTGGTGATGTCAGATAACTGAGCTTTCATTTCTAGCATTTTTTCCTCAATAACAGCGTGTAGAACAGCTTTCCCAAGGTGGATAGGCCTCACTTTAAAAACTTGGAATATTAAGTTTTTCCCTTTTTCAAAATGACATACCTAGGACGTACACACTGTGGCATAAATTCCCAATGGTTGCCATTTAAGAAATTATTCAAGTTTGATATCAGTGATAAACTGGATGAAGAAGAATAAAATTATACTTAATACAGCTTTTTATATTTTTATTTATTTATTTGTATCCCACCTTTATTATGTTTACAAATAATTCAAGGCAGTGAACATATGTAACACAGAACAACAAGCCTGTGACATGAGTTGGGCTGAGCAGAGAATGACTGGCCCCAAATCACCCAGCTGGCTTTCATGTCCAAGACAGGACTTGAACTCCACGAGTGATATATAAAATGGAACAAACCGTTAGATATGGCGAAATTACGAATGAAAAGGGTGAACTTAAATCTGCAAGAACTGGAGCAACAAGGTATAAGGATGAATTGGTTTTCATATGCCCAAATGCATTCTAGATATGATACAGAAGGTTTTTATGATAAATTGAATGCTTTGGATAAAATTTTAACAGGTACTGATGAAAAGGTGATTAAGAAATTATACAGATATTTATTAGAGGTTAAATTAGAAGAACAACAAGTTAAAGAAACAATGATTGCATGGGGGAAAAATTTTGGATATGGGATTGACCTAGAGAGATGGCAAAAACTATGGTCTCAAAATTATAAAATGACAATGTCAACTGCATATAAAGAAAATTTGTTTTAGATGTTTTACAAGTGGCATCTTCCCCCAATGAGAATAGCAAGAATGTTTAAGAATAAATCCGAAAAATGTTGGAAATGTCAGCAGATACCTGGCTCATTATACCACATGTGGTGGACATGTGCAGAGGCGAAAAAATATCAGACTACAATCCACACATGGTTGGAAAAAATGACAAAAAGTCATATTGATTTTAAACCAGAAATATTTTTATTGGGTATTGTACCAGAGATATACAGTAGAGAACTGATATGTTTGATTGTGAATGTACTAACAGCAGCTAGAATTGTATTTGCAAAGATTTGGAAAAATGAGAAAATACCAACACAGGAGGAAGTTATTAAGAAAATAGTGGAATGTGCTGAAATGAGTAAATTGAAATTTGAAATTAGAGAACAAGAAGATAAGCAATATTATAAGATATGGGATTTATTTTATCAATGGTTAGAAAAAAAAGTGTGGAAATGATATCTTTTATAGATAACTTTACAATATAAAAATAATAGAATTTAAGAGAAAATGATATAAGAATGTATTTTTTATTAGATGAAGTGGCAATGGAAGTTATATTACATCTTGGTTTAAAATGTTGAATATCTATATGAAGTGGTGGAACGAATAGTTATTGTTAAATGAAAGAACCATAATGATAATACTATATATATATATACGTATGTATGTATGTATGTATGTATGTATGTATATATACACACACATAAAATGGAAAATATGAGAATTTATGGGACTTGTGAAGGATGACTATGGACACGTAGCACAAAAGAATTGCAACCAGTCGACACACTGTATGTAATTGAAAGATGATTTTATGTTTTTGTGTGTTGTTTTGTCTGTGTTTGTTTAGAAAAATAAAAAACTTTATTTTTTTTTAAAAAAACTTGTTTTTAAACGATTTATGAAAATATATAAACTACTTTGAGTTCTATGTTTGTTTTCCTTAAACTAATGTCTCTTCCTGCTTCTTTTTTATTTCTTTTCTCAGGGCTTCCATAACCAGGCTGTGAAAATCCTGATGAGCATTAGATAGCAGCTAGTCACACTTGCTGGTTGTCAAATTAGTTATATATTTTTTCCTGTCACTTTTCTAGTTTGTTTTCACCAGTGCTTCTACAGTATCAAGGCAAAGAGTGAGAACATTATGAATTTCTTTATACATCATGCCAAGTCACAGTTTTAATCTTGCCTTTTGGATAGCCACAGTCATTAAGTTGACACAATGTGAAACCTGATTTTTACATTACAACGGCTTGTTTGTATGTAAAATACATCACATTATGACATAGCATATGAAAATCCAGGTAACAGCAAGCCAGGATTAAAAACAAGCCAGGATTCCTAAGCAAGTTTCACATTTCTACCTATGATTTATAACCAAATTAGATATTGGTTTTTTTCTTGGGATTGGGTCATACCCCAAAACACTATTAAACTGAACACATTAACGTTCCTCTGTATGCAAAATTGCATTCAAAATTAGACAGAGACATTGCAGTGATTTCTTCTGGCAGTCTGATTCTCTCGCTTCACTGACAGCAGGAAGATGAGGGATACACATAAAACGGTGGAATGCAAGGCAAGTAGGTCAAAAAGAAAAAAAATTCTTTTCTCTGCTCCATTCCAGTTAACTTCCTTCTCTTTGTGAAATGTTGACAGGGCTGCAATTTACGTGTCATCTGTTTTGACTAGACATCAGATGTAATGTTGATCACTGTGACAAGGATTAAATGTTTTTTCAAATAAAGTCAGCCACCGCAATGCATTATTATCGGGAGGGTATGACTAAAATAGCTTTAGGAAGTTTGTCCTATTTTCACTCTAAAACAAGC